GGCTTAACCGATGCAGCCGAAATGAGAGCAAGAATGTTCAAAGCTGCAAGTTTTGTTCGTTTACTTGTCTCGGCCGTGATTCTGGCGACGATTCTGGTCGTAACACCTTGCCGAGGTCAACAAAGATGTTATCCGTTGACTATTCCTCTCTGTAAGGGTTTATCGTACAATACCACAATACTGAATCCCACGATGCAGCAGCAAGTGTCTCGCGAACTCGCTCGATTCTCTCCTTTGCTGAAGATGGCTTGTTCAGACGATTTAGCACTTTTTCTTTGTTCCTTGTTCGCGCCAATTTGCAGGCTGTCACAGACCCCTATTCGTCCGTGCCGCTCGCTTTGTAACAGTGTAAGACGCGGTTGTGAGGAATCTTTGAAAACCATGGGCTTCACGTGGCCGGAGCCTTTCGACTGCGATAAATTTCCAGATGAGACCGATAAAGACCTCTGAATTGTTAAACCCACCCTTAAGCCGCTAATAACGGAGACAGCCAAGGGTGAGTTTTCTTAAGCTCTTTTAATTTTCTGTTGCCATTATTGATTTATTTTTACGTGTTAATTGGGGGTTTACTAATAAATTGTGAGATATGTTCCGGCATACAGCTCAATAACATAGGTTAGCGGCAGAGCGCAAATAAATTTTAGGGTTCAGTGTGAGGTACTTGTTAAATGGTGTTACTTGCGTGACATAAGATATTGCCAAATCAGTTGCGTCAAAGTTAACTTTAACAGACGTCGCCCCTCTCGTAGGCTGGGTATCTTGCAGGCATTAAAAAAACATTAATCTATGTTTATTTTTACTGCCTATTGGTTCCTTATGTAATTATCCATTGATTGAGGGGTTCTGGTTTATCGCCAGTCTTTACAGTTATGGGTGTAATATGAGCTTTATCAAAATAAATTTTCGGCATGGCTAACACCATGCTCCTCTGCTTTAAAGTGCACTACAAACCGAACTTATTTTGGGTTCGTCACACGATTGTGCTCTGTCTTTGCACGATTCACAATGATTTAGAGTGAAAAATTAACAAATTGAAGACAACAGATTTACCTTTACTTTTTTCAGCTTGTTCTAGATTGCTAGCTGAACGAGTGAATGATTTCCTGAATGATCGGACGGTGTAATGGTCATGCTTGCGTAATGATTGAACAGGACTTGTCATGTGCGCGCACATTTGCCGAGTTGTTGTTGTTTTTATGAAAAGGTGTAACTGATGGCTGGTTTGTTTTTCAAATTTTGTCATAGTTTTTATTAATTGGTAACAGGACCTCCTGTCGTACACAGTCGTGATTACAGACCAGATTGGACTCCACTTATCCTATTAGGCCTATTACCATGACGGATTGATTGAGTAATAATGAAAACAAGGTTGAGTGCAGTTCAATACGTATAAATGGTCGTACGAGTGAAAATCGGACGACCTCAAAGCGGGAGCATGATTTGTTAATCACGAGTATAATTAAAGACAGATTTGGACGAGACAAAGTCCTGTTAGCAATTAATCAAACCTATGACAAAATTAGAGAAAGATACTAGACATTGGTTGTACCTGTTCTTAAAAAAAAAAAAAAAACAGTGACTTGGTAAAATGCGCGACCACAGCGCGCGCACCTGATGCTTGCTGTCCAAGTGCACAAGCATGACGAGCCAACTGTCCAATTAAGCTTGAAGCGTACACTGTCTGATTAATGCTCACATTGGGCTTGTGATAACCAATCACGTTCGAAAATTTTGTTATAGTTTTGATTAAATGGTTACTTGATGGACTGATTGACTAATCCTTTGAATCACTAAACAATTTTTGTATCACTTTGTATCAGATACCCCTGGATTCCTCCTTGTCGCAAACCGTAAGGATATCCTCCGTGTGGAGCTGGACCCAGTTGCACACAAAACTCTGGTCCCACGTCAGATGGCAGCTGTAGCTATCGATTTCGACTTTGGCACGGGATTTGTTTTCTGGACTGACGTAGCTGAAGGCAATATCCAGCGTGTACCGGTCGATAACGGCGGAAATACAGAGGTGTTGATAGATGGTCTTGTATCGCCTGAGGGACTGGCTGTTGATTGGATGAATAAGAAGCTGTATTGGACCGACACGGGGACAGATACGATTGAAGTGGCGGGCTTCGATGGCGGCCATAGAATGGTTCTGATTAATACAGGACTGAAAAAACCGAGAGCTCTCGTTGTACACCCCAGTGCTGGGTAAGTGTCGTGTTTGTTATCATAACTGTCTACACCCTAACATCAGTTTGCATATTCTCCTTGATGATTGATTGATGATCGTTTAATTCCATACCCTCGCAGCTAGGGATTAATTGCAGTATGGGTCAGTATTACATAGGTACGACATTAAATATACATCTTATTGATATCGAACAGTAACAAAATTATTAAGCTTAAGTCTGTCTGTGGCCCCTCTAAACCGATCTATTCGAACATTGCCGGCTCGCAAAGAATAACCATGATGCACCTCTATGGTGCGAGGAAGGATGTAACTTATAGGTTCAGTCCTCCTCGCCCCAGCAATGAACCTGGAACACAGTTCAGCTCTGTGAACCACGAGGGGTTGCAGCCGAACCTCACTAAGGCCAAATCCATAGTCAAGACGGGGGGAGATTATCCTAAGTGCTTTCCGTTGTACTGACTCGACGAGCTCATTAAGGTACTCAGGAAGATATGCGCAGACAGGGGCCACGTACTCCAAGACCGACCGTATTAGGGAGCAATAAATAAGCACTAAATCAGTCTGGGGTACTCCTGCCTTCCCAAGCACCCTAAGAGCATAAATGCGCTTTCTCGCTTTCTTCACAATGTACTCAATATGGCTGATCCAGGAGAGATCTGAAGAAATGTAGACACCGAGTAACTTCTAACTCTCTACCTGATTGATATTAGTACTCCCAAGAACTAAGCCTTGAAGAGAGGCAGGCAGATAATGAAGAAAGCTTACTTGGAGCTTTTTACATTTGTTACGAGGATCGAATTATCTTCATTGAATCTGTCACGCAATCCCAGACTTATCTAGAATTATCTATAATCTGTAATATTCCAGAAACTTCTTTCATGTGACTCAGCAGTTCCAAAAATAGTACAACTTGTAATACGCTATAAATAGTAATAGAACATTCTAGATAACTAAAGTAAATGTATAAAAGCTGGCTTGTGAGAAGTACAAAAAGATTTGCCCGAGGGCTTACCCTCGTGGCTTGCTGACTGAACTATTGGAGGCTATGATATGACGACGCTATGACCTTTTGACCTTGCGATATTATCGGAGAGAAGAAAGAGATGAAAAAGACGATAGTCGAGAGAGGAAGAAGATAGAGAATACAGAGTTTACTATGGAGTCCTCCGAAAGAGTTTGTGTACAAGGAAAGAATGCGATAAATCAAGAAAGCCAAGCGCTGTGGTCTTCAGTCGGCGGAAGTTGGAATTGGAAGTTGATCAAGACGATGAACACTTCTACGGCTTGAAGGATTGTAACCCTGCTTTATGAACTGCTTAACTTAATCTTTAACCTAAGTAAATTAGACAATGTAAAACTAATTAAATAATAGTTAAATGGGTAACTGCTTGTTGTTACATTTTTGTTGCGTGCCATATATCGTACTCGGGAGTCTATTTTCATAGATGCTTTGTTAGCGGACATTTGTTGGTCATTCGTGCACGTAACACATTTCTTAGGGTTTAAGCGCATTCCCCGTACTGAAGCAAAATCCCTAATCTCGTTAACAATAAATTGTAAATAACTGGGGGAGCATCTAGGAATTATTTCAAAAACTGTGGTGTCATCAACATACTTTAGTCGATTTGGCCAGCTAGACACTAGGCGATTGACAAGAAGAGCAAATAGTAGCGGGGCAGATTTTGTGCTCAGAGGGATACCCCCATTGCTTACGATAACATTTGACGGTTCCCTATACACCTTACGGTTCCCTATACACTTCGTATGATAATGAAAAAGGAGCATTTGTTTAACGATCAAGTTGGTGATTAGTTTGTGAATTCTCATAACCTTAATGTTTGATTCAAGGGTGATATTGTAAGGAGAAGTTAGATGCTGGTCACTCTGGGATCAAAGGGTTAAGAGTGTTCTTCCCTCCAAGGCGCGTTGTTAATATTTCGAAGAATTTTTCTTTTCAGTGGGAAAAATTACCCTTAAATTAAGTAAGTCCGACTTAAGTCCGGTTGCAAATTGTAGTTTGTTACGATGGAAAATGCAAGAGGCAAGAAAAATTAGGAGGAACATGGATGAAAACTATAGGCCCGTCACAGTCCTACCTGTACTCAACAATATATATGAGAAGCTGCTAATAGCACAGCTGGGAGACTTTTATCAAGCGATTCTGTCGGATTCCATCAGCTCTTACAGAAAGTTCTACAGTTGCGAGACGGCGCTGCTAAAGTTAATTGAGGACTGGAGGGCTATGCTCGATAAAGGCGAATTAGTTGCGGTAGTCTCAATGGATCTTTCTAAGGCTTTCGAGGTTATTCAACACAATCTACTTTTAGCAAAACTCAAAGCTTATGGTGTGGGAGAGAGAAGTTTAGCACTCTTCAAGGATTATTTTTCGGGGAGACAGCAGAGAGTCAAGATTGGGGACACCTTTTCCAGTTGGAAAGATGTTAAAAGAGGAGTTCCGCAAGGAAGTGTTTTGGGGCCTGTGTTTTTTAATATATTCATCAACGACTTGTTTTACTCGGTTACGCAAGGTAAATTTCACGCATATGCGGACGATCATCAGTTATACTCTTCTGATGTCTACCCAGTAGCTCTAGAGAACTGTATTTGTCGGGAAGTGAGAGTTGCAAATAAGTGGTATCGCAGCAATGGAATGATTGTAAATGAGACAAAACACCAGGCTATAGTCTTGGGAAAAACAGGCCACTCCTGCTCTTTTCCTTTAAAAGATTCTTTGGATATATTTGGAGTAAATATTGACAATAGGTTGCGTTTTGATAATTATATATCAACTATTTGTAAGAAGATAAATGGCCAGTTCAATGTAATGCTAAGATTTCGTAAACTTATCTCTAAAGATACTCTACTAAGATTATATAAGGCTTTTATTATGCCACATTTTAACTACTGTTCGTCTGTATGGCACTTTTGTGGTGCGCGTAGTACTGAGAAGATAGATACTTTAAACAAGCGAATTCTTAGAGTTATCTTGCAGGATTATAATTCTCCCTATGACTCAGCAAAGTTAACTCCAAATCTCTATATAATGACGCCTTCAGACTTTCTTAATTATATTGTACAAGAGCTTGTTTTTTAACTGCTATCCAGGCTATCTAAAGAATATGTTTAGTTTCCGGTCTGTATCCTATAATCTACGCGGAAATTATATTTTGTCTCTACCGTCTACAAAAACTACTACTTATGGTCTCACTCCTTTTCGTATATGGCTTCAAAACTATGGAACTCTCTTCCGGACTCTTTTAGAACGTCTGACTTTTCTGATTTCAAGCGCAAGATTCTACAGTATGACTCTTTCTCATAGTTAAATTTTAGAATGTTACAATTTTACATTTTACATTTTACATTTTACATTTTAGTAGTATTTAGAATTATACTTGTAACTCGAAGATACTAGCTTATTCTTTAGCTACTCCAAATTCGAGATTAAATAAAGTATATGTATGTATGTATGTATGTTTAAAGGATTCCAAATCGCAAATCTGCAAAATGTAAGAATAAAAGGGGTACGTTTCTGAAGAAACTGCGGTGCTGCGTCGGTTAAGGGTGTCACAAGATAATTCGGTTTTATCAACTGAGTTTATTATGTGGATTGACCACCATAGAGAGATTACAAAGCTGACATTTTTAGCATTAGTCGCTCTGACAAAGGACTTCAGTCCGAAACGTCAGCCTTGGAGAATATTTACAGCGGCCAATTCACATTGTCAACTCAGTTCAAAATATTAAGCACTTTTTTCTATACGCACAAACCTTGATATGTATTCTCAAGTGTCAGCAGCCTCTCCCCTGGAGGAACCTAACACCCAGGGGAGCCTAACCCTTGGCGTGGGAGGGGGTGGGTTGAAATGGATCAGTTGCCTAGAGTTGGAAGTAGCTGACATTGAAAACAAAAACATTTTTGAAACGCTTTTAGACGTTCAAGTACGGCAAACATGTTGCAGCCTTTCTCGACCGTGACGTTATTTTTTATTTTAGATACATGTTTTGGTCTGATTGGGGAAATGCAGCCAAAATTGAAAAATGCGGTATGGATGGAGAGAGTACATCACGGAAAGTTCTCGTCAGCAATAACATCGTTTGGCCAAATGGACTCACCATAGACTACAACGACGATAGAATTTGGTGGTCTGATGCGCGATTGGGCACGATCGAGTCCATAGACTTAAACGGTGGAGATCGAAGAGTCACTTTACGAAGCAACCGAGCTCGGTACACCTTCGGTATTTCACTTTTTCAAGACTCTGTCTATGTAGCCAAGCGGCAGGGAGGGCGGAGGATACTTAAAATGGACAAGTCTGGGAGCAAGAGACCGATGACCATACTGCGACATCTGTATGGACCACGAGGAATTGTGGTATATCATTCGTCAAGGCAGCCGGGAACAGGTCGGAAATTATGTTTTGTTGATTTGTTTATACAGGAATAAGTAACTTCTTATAGAAACGTTTGAGGGTTCCACAGTTTAATTTTCGTCCTTTTTCTTTTCAGTTATTGATCTTTCTTTTTCTTTTCAGTTATTGATCTTTCTTTTTCTTTTCAGTTATTGATCTTTTTCTTTTCAGTTATTGATCTTTCTTTTTTTTTTTTCAGTTGTTGATCTTCCATTTTCTTTTCAGTTATTTATCTTTCTTTTTCTTTTCAGTTATTGATCTTATTTTGATCTTAGGTTTTTCATTCATTATATTTTCATTCTTTCATTCATTTATTTATTCATTCATGACCCCAATAATTCAGTAACTCTTTTGATCTTTTGTGTTCTTTGATCCGTTAGTCGCTTTGCCGTCCTAACTGTCTCTCATGCCTCTACCTTGCTTTTGTCCTTCTTTTTGCTCGTTATTTAAACCCATAGTTCTACTGTCTGTTTGTTGCTTGGTACTGATTTGTTCCCTTAATGTCATTTCCTTGCGACTATGAAGCCCATCCAGCAACTTACCGGAATGTTTTCTTTGCATAGGCAACAATCCATGCAGTGATTCTGTGGATTCCGGAGGCTGCAGTCACATCTGTTTATTAGCTCCAAAAGATCTCGCTCCAAAAGGTTACTCTTGTCACTGTCCCCCTGGATTGGTGATGCTTCAAGATCAAAAGACGTGCATGTCCTCAGGTAATGATAAATAATTAGGTTCAGGTATAGTCTGGGGTCTTCGTGTTTTAACACCGTGGGTTGCAACGTTGCCATACAAGACGCATGAAAGCAGGTCCATCCAGCAGCACGAGTTCTAGCACTATGTTGTGTCTTATTCGAGGTTATAAGAGGTTTGAAGAAATTCTCTCTTTTTTTTGGGAGGGGAGGGAGAAAGCTACATACCTATATAGTTTTAAGATGTGTCAATCTACTACAAGGGATCTTAAAAAAAACTAAAAGAGGATAATTTCCAATTTTCTCCTTAGATGGTTTAAAGTGCAGTGAACGAATGTGTCTCAATGGAGGCACCTGTATCGAAAAAGCAAAAACACTTCCCAGATGTAGGTGAGTGACTCGTTTCTGAGCGGTTAGGGGGAAGTTATGGTCATTTTAGCAAGTTATTGAAATCCTCAAGCATTCTATGAAAAATTGAATTTTGCGCGTTCAGATGCAATTTAAGGTTTTGGGATTTGTAGCAAGTGATCAATATTACTCCGGGCAGATTCCCGCACACTTAACTGCCTCTAAGCTTACGACGGTTACCCGTTTACGGATTTCCGTTACCAAATGCAGAAAGTAACGAGATCAAGGAAGACTTCCTCGGGGCTTTTTTTCCAGATTTACTTGTTAGAAGTAATCCCAAATTATAGAATAGTGGAATTTTCAATTACATGCCGCGATTAATCCTGCAATGGTTTGGTTTTGCTTTGCATCAAATTGTGATTGCTCTAAAAACTCGGCCCACCTACTTAGCCAATCAGATTCAAAACTTAAGCCATTCGCCAGTTGGTCGCTCAAACTGTTATTCTCCACAGTTGCCCGTCTGATTATAAAGGACCCAGATGTCAAGAAATCATCCCAACGCTGGCACCAATGCAAGTTTCCACCACAACTTCTCCCTCAACGAGAAAAGGTATTTGTGAGCCGTTAATGATACCTTTCTGTCAATCTATGCCGTAACACTCTACAATATTTCCTAACTTCTTAATGCACACAACACAAGACGAAGCCGCTCTTTATTTCCACCAGTTCTATCCTTTTGAAACCTACGATTGCTCGAAGCATTTAGGATTCCTCCTCCGTACTGTTTACGCGCCAGTATGTACAGTCTTATGGATTCCAGTTCCTCCCGGCCGTTCCCTTGTAATATTGCAAGACTTGGCTGCGAAAATGTGATGAAACGTTTAGGTTTCAAATGACCACAGAGTTTGAACCGCGGAAGATTTCCCGAATTAGGTTCTGAACTGTACTTTTCAATCAATGAAAATTTGAAACCCACACCTACATCCAGCCACCAATTAGTGAGGAATTAGTATTATTTAACATGTTTTGTTTTTTCTTGGTGTTTTCACCTTGTGCATTGATCTAAGTCCTTGTTTCAAAGCCTCTATAATCCTTGTGAATAGAAAGAAGATCTAAAACAGGAAGAAAGTGGACTTGATTCGGAGGACAGTGCGCCAAAAATTGCTGATTTCCATATGAGATTCTGTTCTCATTAGGAATACGACCACCTTCCCAAAGTGAGAGAAAAGTCGAAAAAGAGATCACTGTATGACTCACTGCTAATTATTTCAGCACGAGTGAAAATCAAGAAATCAGTCAGTTTCTTTTGTTTTGTGACATTCCTAGTAAGTAATTTCATCTGCTATTTGACTTCAGCTTCCAATGGATCCTGTGGTGCCGATCAGATCATGTGTAAAGATACAGGAGTGTGCGTTGACAAAGCTTCTGTTTGTGGTGGTGACGATGGTGATTGTAGAGAACTCTCAGAGGAAGAGCTCTGTGGTAATGCAACCGTTATTTCAAAATGTGGAAGTAAACTATTTAAATGCCGTGAAACAGGACACTGTTTGAAAAACTTTCATGTTTGTGACGGTTCTTACGACTGTGATGACAAATCAGATGAAGAAGGCTGCAATAGTACAGTTCCTTGTGGTGCCAGTGAGTTTAAATGCCGCGACTCTGGAGCATGTATGCCCGAGATTGTATCCTGTGAAAAATTTCCTCAAATAGGAGAAAAGGCTTGCATTGCAGTTAACCCAACAGCACCCATCAGCTTACCGGCGGCGTCACTTGAGACTTGTAAGTACAACACTAAATGACTTTGTCTTGGAGGGAAGAGGAATTTTCAAAAGTAATTTGGGATTGGTTTATTTTGCTTTATTACCACGCATTATTATTGGTCTAGGAAAATCACTCTCCCAACTTAACCAATGACATATTGCAGTTCTCGTTGGATTGTAATGACATTGTTATTTTGTTTTTGCGCCATTCAATAGTAGAGTGTTTCATTTTCAACGGTATGTTTTTTTCAGGTATGTTTTTTCGGTATTCAAACTAGATATGCGCTACGAAAGGCAGAAGGAAATAAATGGTTGCACACCTTCTTAAGACTGTCAATGCCTTCACCCTTTTCTTACATGTCATGTACTTTGAACATAGCAGCTATTGTAACCATTGTTTGTAGCATTAAAATAGAAAATGAAATTTAGGCTCCTTACAGGAACGGAAACATGTACCTCATCTAAGGCATAAGTTCAACCTCCTAGAGAAAGGGTTTCTTAACCTTAGCTACGATACTTTCCTGCATTTCTTGAATAAAAATACTAGGACAACGTAAAAATGCTTTACAAGAAAACGGAACAGATCCAGTCTTTGTTATTGTGATATTGCCTTCCGATTGAATATTTTCTTTGCTACTCAAAGTAAGAAATAAAATCTTGCTTGATGACTGATTGCTTGTATTGTATTGTATTGTATTGTTACGTAACAAAACCCACGAAGGGAGATCTGACGCCAACTCACTCACCATTGCAAAGATTCTGAAGTGAGCATTTTTTTAATCTTTTTTTTCCGCAGATGCTTTGATGTGCACAAAAGAAAGTTGTTTTCGTGGAGGTACCTGTATAGAAGGTTTTAAGCCATTTCCTTCATGTAGGTGGGTAAAGAAATCTCGTTTATTCAGTCAATAAACCTTTAAACCTAGCAACAGTACCCAAGTTCTCCATTTTGTTCTCTGTGCATTTCCTATGGTTCCTAGAAGGAAAATTTGTCTAACAATCAAGAGCTTCTTGAACTGGCTCCAATTTCCTTTATATTCATCTCTATTGTTTGATTGAGGGGTAATTTTATTGAAGGGGAACTTCACTCAAACTAAAAACTAGCGAGTGACCAAGAGAACGAAGTTTTCTCAGGAAAGATTTCTGATACCAAGTTCTCGAATAATAAGTACAAGCCAGTAATGAGGGTTATCCCTTTGGTCATTTCGCTGAAAGTACTCATTGAGAGAGCCATTTATTCTTTATTCGCAGTTGCAAATGTGAAGAGATTATCAAGACGCTTCCACCAGCGCACATCTCCACCACAATTTCTCCCTCAACGAAACAGGACAGTTGTGAGCCGTTAACGTTACCTCTTTGTCGATCTATGCCTTACAATACTACAATTTTTCCAAACTTGTTAAATCACGCAACACAAGACGAAGCCGCTCTTGATGTCCAGCTGTTTTATCCTTTGGTAAAATACGCTTGCTCGGAGCACTTAGAGTTCTTCCTCTGTGCTGTTTACGCGCCAGTTTGTTCCGTCTTAAAGGCTGCAGTTCCTCCCTGCCGCTCCCTTTGTAATGGTGCAAGACTTGGCTGTGGAGATGTTATGAAAAGGTTTGGTTTCAAATGGCCAGAGACTTTGAACTGCGAAAGATTCCCTCTTGAAGGTGCAAGTAACTGCGTTGGAGTAAATGGATCGATGGGACCTACTTCTCTGCCACAGACAAGTGAGTTAAAAATTAACCAATGGTAAACACCACAGCGTACACTATTGACCAATCAGAGCGCGCGCTTTACTTTGGTTATGTTATAATACAAAAGTGAAAGATCTTACCATGATGAGTATCGTGAAACATGCCATGTTATCTTTGAAATATATGTGTAAACTTTTAATTTCGTTCTAAATTCTGAAATTTCATCAGCTGACAAGGCTCGGTTTATGGCCCAAAGTGATTGAAACGTGCAATAGTGATCTGATGTCCCCTTTTTCAACCTTTTTACGTGCTATATCTTCACTATGAACTTTAAAGCATGTTTAAATTTATATATACCATCATTTCGGGGAGTAGTATTTTTACTTTTTTGTGACTACTTTCAAAAATTGTATTCACATCATAACAGATCATTCAATTCAAACGTCAAATCGGTCGAAATGCTCACAGAGTATCTCACCGGGCATTGGTAGGTCTTGAGTTTATTCTTTATCATCGAGTTTGTTCTTTGTCCTAGCTACGTAACACACGATTGCTGCGATATTCTACGAATGTGCTAATACATTATTTTCTTACCTGTCTTCAGCCTCCAGTCGTTCCTGTCTCACTAGTCAGTTCATATGTAACAGCACAAAAGAGTGCATTGACAAAAGTCTTCTTTGTGATGGTAATGATGACTGTGGTGATAATTCAGACGAAGACAGCTGTGGTAACGAATGTGATAACAATGAATTCCAATGCGATGATAGATCCTGTATTCTGATAAGTGCTGTTTGTGACGGCAAAATTGACTGTGTTGACAAATCGGACGAAACGCGCTGCAATTACACCCAAGCATGTACAAGCAATCAGTTCCAATGTCGTAGCACCGGAGTATGCATCAACAAAGTCTTTGTATGTGATGGTAGCAATGACTGTGGAGACATGTCCGATGAAGAAAAGTGTAACACAACTGCACTTTGTAGTATCACCGACCAGTTTCAGTGTGGAGCTTTTGAAAGATGTATCGAGAAGGTTCTTGTTTGTGATGGTAATGATGACTGTGGGGACAACTCGGACGAAGTCGATTGTGAAGATGATCGTCTTTGTAACGCTGATGAGTTTAAATGCAATACAACAAGACGATGTATACCTGCAAAATGGGTGTGTGATGGAATTAGTCATTGCCCCGACAGCTCAGATGAGGCGAATTGCAACAACACTGAGTGTGTCGGCGAGGACAGATTTCGATGTAAATCTAGAGCGGGTGCTTGCATCCCGACCACATGGATTTGTGATGGGCAAGATGACTGTGGAGATGACTCTGATGAAGTGAACTGTACCCTGCCTCAATGCGAAACGGGAGAGTTTATTTGCAAGCCTTCCAAATCGTGTATGCCTGTCAGATGGAAGTGTGATGGAGAATCTGACTGTCCGGACGAATCAGATGAAGCAGACTGTCCTGAATTCTTGTGTAAACGCGAGTACTTTAAATGCAAGAGTGTAGAAAAGTGTATCCCAGAAAAATGGGTTTGTGATTCCGATGACGATTGCGACGATAAATCAGATGAAGTTAACTGTGCTAATAATACGTGCGAGGCTTGGCTATTTTCATGCGAAACTTCTGGAAAGTGCCTCCGAAAAACATGGGTTTGTGATGGCCAAGACGATTGTTCTGATGGATCGGATGAAAAGAACTGCACCAGAAGCAAATGTGAAGATGAGGAATTTTCATGCAGCGCCTCGGGTACATGTATTCCAAAGAAACAACGCTGTAATGGTGTAAATGACTGTCATGATAACTCTGATGAATTAAACTGTACCTTACCTGTTTGCGAAGAGGGTCAATTCCTTTGCGGTTCTAGGGGATGCGCGCCTAACGCATGGAGATGCGATGGTGATTCTGACTGCCCAGGCAACTCAGATGAAGTCAACTGCCCTACAGTAGCTGCAAAATGTAGCAACCGTGAATTTCAGTGTAAGGACAGTTCGTGCATTCACGTCGGCTGGGTTTGTGATGGCGATCCAGATTGTGAAGACAATTCAGATGAGTTCAACTGCACTTCTCCACGTGAATGTCCGGGGAATATATGCGGTGAGTTATGACTGTGAGATTGGGAGAGTTAAACTTCGAAATTTATGGCTAACAGGAGATCGAATTATTATGGCTATCCGTCTTTCTTTATACATAAACAGTTCAGTTGTTATTGTTGTTATTGTTTTTGTTATGTCAGGTGACGGTTTGTGCGAAACAAATCAGTTCATCTGTGAGAATGGAAGGTGCATAGATGTGCAAGAGAGATGTGATGGAAAGGATGACTGCTCTGATGGTACCGATGAGGCAGATTGTGGTACGTTATTCTCAAATTATTATATGATACGCGAGACACCATCTGTAAGTTCTCTCTTTCGTCAAGGGGTCTTAATTAGACAGAAAACCCGTTGGCTACCCTTAGGTCCTTCCCTTTATGGAGTGCAGTGTGGGTGGAGTGGGACTGGGGTCATGGGCCAGGTGCAATCATCATGCACCGCGCTCTGCGTTTTCTAGATAGAACGCAAAGGACTAGGGGCCCGTTTCTCGGAAGTCCCGGTAACTTAACGGGCCCGTAAAGATGTCCTGTTATCATTCAAGATGGGGATTTCAAACGTTTTGAAAGTGACACAATAAAACTATCAGCTAAAGAAACAAGAAGGACTGGTTTGGGTGCCAGAACCTACTTTGCTATCCTTTAAGTTTTGAATTTTAAACATTGCTTCGGGTCCGTTAAGTTACCGGAACTTTCGAGAAACGAGCCCCAGAGACGAGCTCATCCTTTTGTTGTTAATATGTCGAACGAGAGGAATTACAAAACATTGGGCAGTGTAGCCTTTCATTGCAAGGTGATCTGCATGGCTACTTTCAGATTGAAATCAGTCGCCCCTTTTTAGCGGAAGATGACGTATTAGTCAGATTCTCATTTTCTTAGAGTGCATTATGTAGTTTAAAATTGAAGTACTGAAACGAAACCTTTCCAATTAATTGGTTGGTTGGGGTTAAGGGTTCAAGGACAATGGCAATCATCTTGCGCTGATTTATGATTGAGCCTCTAACTTCCGCAAGTGACCAGTTCATAACTTTTCTTTACAATAACGATACTTTATTAAGCAGAGAGCCGATTAAAATAAAAGAATTACTTCTTTATCAAACCAAGAGCCATAGGGACTTCTCTTTATTTTCACTCCTGTGTTTTTTTTATTTCCAGATCAAGAAGTCTGTAAAATCCGAGGAAACTGCAGTCAAGGTTGCTCAGTTGACGGAGATGTTTACATTTGCAAATGCACTGAGGGCTACGAATTAACATCAGATAACAAAACTTGCCGAGCTTTAGGTGAGAAATGATGGGTCAATGCGTCGCTTCTCTACGCAGTTCCCAGGGCTTGAGAAGCAGACAAATGACATAAGCCATGAATGTTAGGATCAATTTCAGCTTCTGAGCAATTACGCTCCCACCCCTCCTCAAACCCAACAACAGTGAACTGATAACAAGTTAAGGTAAATGTTGGATCAAGTGAGGGACGGGTGCGCAGCTGCCCAGATACTGACATTGATCCAAACGTTACAGGACATGTTCTTATCAAAAATACATAGGAGAACAGAGAGAGAGACAATCGGGGCGTTGGCTGGGATGCGTCGATCCACAGAAGCAAGATACAATCAGGGGACAGAAAGGAAGGGCCCCCTGAGATATGTGAATTCTATTAACGCTTTTCATACATATTTGTTCGAACGAATGTTTGTCTCTGAGACATCCCCAGGAAGAGAGGGCTTAGCTCGATGCGATGTTCTAAGTACGAATAACATAATGGCTTATAGCTTAAAGATTGGTTCTGTCGTCGAAAAAGACTCCAATAAATGAGGTTTTCTGCGAGAAGTTTGAATATGGACATTTGGGCGATGATTTTGTTCATGTACCAAACACAAAATATCTTTCTCAGACATCGTCCTCATGTCCCCCTCTATGTCCCCACTTTTTCTCGGTAGAAGGTCTTGGTGTTCCTCTATGAGCACTCGCTCAGGCTCGTGAAATACTATTTATCTTATTTTACTATTCAGCTACTCGTTGGTTTATCATTTTACAATTCCTGGAATCTTGTTCCACTTCAGGCCCAGAAGGATTTGTTTTTGCTGCAAATCGCAAGGACATTCGCCGATTCTCAATGAACACACTTACTCCCGAGTTAGTAGTGACTTCAGATCAAACTAACTCCTTTTTTCTGGATTTCAACTTTGACACAAAACATATCTACTGGAGTGATATGGTACATGACAATATTCGACGAGCACCGATTGATAACGGCAGCGATATTGAAGTAGTTATCGAGGGAAATCTCAACAGACCAGAGGGCATAACAGTAGACTGGATCAACAAGAAGTTATATTGGATTGATGCGAACTCCACAGAATCTGAGATTGAGGTTGCTGACCTAAGTGGGAAAAATCGTTTGAGTCTTATCCAGGGAGACATGCAAGAACCAAGAGCTATTGCAGTACATCCGCTTCTCGGGTAATCGATCTATTGGGATTTTTTGTTTTTGTTTTCGTTGTTCCATTCCGTTTGGGGAGCGAAAATTATTTGAGCAAGGGAAAGGGGGGGATTTTGGTTGTGATACGTTAAACTTTAACTGATTCTCCGCTAAGGCTCTGTAATATTCTTGAGATCTCCCCATTGGCAATAATTTGGCAATAAATTGGCCGATATCCCTAAATTTTCTGCACGTCCCCCCCCCCCATTCTCTGTTGGGGACACTGAAACCCTCCATCCCCCCCTCTTCCAGGCAATCAATGACGACTGGTCTCTTATTGTATTTCTATTTGATCCAGAATGCATTTGTATTATTTATTCATATATTCGATTGACTGTCGACCATTTTTCTTCTTTTATTTCCAGTTACCTGTTCTGGACTGACTGGGGTAAACCAAGTAAAATAGAGAGATGCGCTATGAATGGCGACAGTGCAACACGTAAAGCTATCATAACGGAGAACATAGGTTGGCCAAATGGGATTACAATAGACTATACTTTGAACAGAATCTGGTGGACTGATGCCAAGCTACACACCATTGAATCAGCTGATTTGAATGGAAAACATCGCAAAGTTTTCTTAAAAGCCAGGCCTTTAAAGCGTCCTTTTGGGATTTCAGTGTTCCTGGACAGCGTTTTCTGGACAGACTGGCAAACATCGAAACTCCATGTTGCGAATAAGTTTACTGGAAGAGTTGTAAATGCTGTTGTTCTGCAGATGCCGATGGATGTTGTTGTGTTTCATCGACAGAGGCAGCCAATAGGTTAGAGTACTCTTAATTATGCTATAAATCTGTAGTAATTGCTTGGGATTTGCTTCACTACCACCCATCGATAGACCAAATAACTGTTTAATCACTTAGTTGAACAGTCAGATATGAATTCAAAAATGCAAGAACCATTTTCCTTTCATAGTACTGGTCACGTGAATTTTCGTCAGGCTTCTTTGGTTTATCTGTCGGTCAGCGGATTTCCTTGATCTAGCTAAGGTCACTGTCTGTGTTGTGTCCTTAGGCAAGACATTTTGATCTCACAATACCTTTTATATCTCCTGTTTCATTTACAGGATCCAATCCTTGTAACGTCACTGCACTGCTTGGTGGCTGCAGTCACATCTGTTTATTGGCGCCTGTTGACTCTTACCCACAAGGCTTTTCGTGCCGTTGTCCACCTGGATTAACGCTGCTTGCTGACCAGAAGACCTGTAATCCGCAGGCTCAGCCGCAACTTTGAGAAGTGATGAAGCATTCTAGTATTTGGAGACTGGGGGAAGCGCAAGGGAGGGTGTGGTTAACACGAACGCTTTGCTTTTATAACAAATATTATCGATAAACATTTCCAAGCAACGAGTTACCGTATTTCCTTGAAAGCGCCCCTCCCCCGAATAAGCGCCCACCCCTAGACCATAATTTCAAATAAGCACCCCCCTTCTCTTCTAGATAGTAGGTATACACGGAAAACCTGTTTCTACTGCCACTTTATTTACAGTTTTTAAGCTTCAGCTACAGCGGGATCAATACAAGAGTATGCTTTTTTTCCGTTCAGTCACTTCCAGTTATTTCCATATCCAGGTGCTTGCAGAGTTCATTTTTGTCCGTTAGCTGTAATTTTAATTTTTTCCTATTGCCGTGCTGGCTTAATAACCCCCTGTCCTTCCTCCTCGGTCAAGTGTCCTCCTTATTTTAAATAATCGCCTGGGCGCTTAATCGAGGAAATACGGTTTTCTCATTTTTTGGTTTCCAATGTTAGCTGGCTCACGAATCTACAACGTTTTTCTTGCAATGTATACTTGGCAATTTTTCTTTTTTCAGAGGACAATACACGAAGCGAACTCGCCCTAAAGTCAATTAACCAATAGTAAACTATTACCACCACCTTCCCTTCTTTGAAAATGCTAAGAGCACCCTTAAAAGCCACTACCATTTTATTGCTATAAGCTTATCCAATAAAATGTACTTGACACGAAGTAGGGTTACCCTGCCAATAATGAAAGTACTTCAGTACAGTTACTCAACCGGTTCCAGAGGTAGAAATCCGCTGATTAGTACTTTATATCTAACTGTAGTCAACCTGCATGAAGAAGAGATTGTATTTTTGCCTTTCTTTAAGAACACAATTCTCTTCAACCAATTCAAGGATCTTCTTATTTCTGTCTCGTCAAGTTCACAGTCAATTTCATATTAAATTCAATCGTAATTCATGGCAGGATTTTCGAAGAGTGTGGTCCTTCAAATATGCCTTGCATAAATAAAACGACAAGTGAGGCTGTTACATTAAATGAATATGAATTATCACCTAATTTTGACAAAGCTAGAAAGGGAGGGGGGTCTTATGTTAGGTTCTTACTGTTATTTGAGAGATATGCCAGGTTGTTTTATTACTATATAGATTATCGCTTCAGCTTGACCGGGGGTCTCGTACATCCTAGGGGTTCCTCCTCCGCACCATCCCCTCCCTCATTTGTTACGACCCCCCCTAACCCCATTTGTTACGACCCCCTCCCCATTTGTTACGACCCCCCTCCCCCCATTTGTTACGCCCTTTAAGTGTAAAGAACTTTCCCGTAACATCTTATGTGGTTACATGTGGTTACTCGTACGCGCTGTGGTCACGCACACTGTGTTTACAAGCATTATACACCTGCCTGTGGTACCATCTGCGGTTTTCTGACTCTTGGCACTTATCATTACAGGTGTTTTAGCTAATTACTTTCACTAAGGGATCTTTATTGAATGCGAACAAAAAACGCAATAAGAAGTATTGTTGAAGCACGTGCCACGCATTACGAACCTCACTGTTAGATAAATATCGAATGTATAGCAGTGTCTATGTAAGGACGGAAGGGTGATCTGCCAAAATTTTCACCGAAACTGAAAATATGATTCCCTCAAAACCGAAAACACTCCATGGTGAAACGGAAGATCCCAGAAGTAAGAAGTAAAATATCAGCGTTCACGAAAAAAAACTAAAAATAAAAACGAAAACTGCAGAAATTAAATCTTAAAAAATACAGAATTTTTGTGCGAAAACCGGAAAACTTAAAGATGATCAAAACCGAAAGAGACAAGAGTTCAATTTGTTTGTGTCAGGTTATCGCTTTTGCAGTTTCGCGTTTTGTTTACAACGAAACCCATATGTACTGTGTTACGCTGCGGAACTCCAACCGTGATTAGTTTAACTTTCTAAACCGTGTAGATAACACAGGATTTTGTTTCAGGACTTCCGTTATCAATTCAGGACATCCGCCCAGCTTGGTTTTGTCGAGGTCTGAGAGTAAATGAACGACCTTGAAAGGTTAAAATGCATTACATCGGTAATAATGTAGGGTGAATGTAAACAATCTCTAGACTGATGTCGTGGACCGTCGAACAAACATTCTGAGTTGAGGCACATGCTCATTTGTGGTTCGCGTGTCTCTAAACCATTAGTGTTTCACGAAAGTCATCGATGAAAATTATTCTGAATCTTTAGGACACTGCTGAAAAATTCGCTTTACACCGCGACAGCTGGAAAAAAAAAATCTTTTAACACCTTTGAGACCGACCACGGTTTGATTCTTTAGTCATCTTAGCACATAAAGGGAGTTCTGCTATTTTGGTGAAGACTTGATCACTCCTTGAAGGACTGTATCAAGTGCAATTCAGTCCCAACGAAATACATCTATCCACTTTGGAATCCACATATAATTTTATTCAAATTTCGCGTTGAAGATTGTTGATTCTATGAGCAATTTTGAACATGCTAAATGATTTACGACAATGCAAACGCTTCGCGTGACCGAATCTCTAAATTGAGGGATACCCGTAATAATAGTCTAGCAAGTATTAATAGTCTAGCTGGGATTGTAATTTCGTCGCTTTACAACACCATCATTCAGTCGAAAAGAAAATGTTCACATCGCTGCATATGTCGAAGCACGTTAAACGTTCAGTGAAAATGAATATTGATTTGAATGATTGAAGGATTTCTGTCAGCATTTGAAAGGAAATTTTAATGAAACAAGAACTCTACAGGAATCAGGCGAGGCCGATTTACAGCATGGTAACGTTGGTCTCCATTAGTACTTAAAAAACTTTATTAAACTTTAACTCCCTGGACTGATTAACATGCAACTCTCCCTATGATATCCATGCATTATCAAGCAAACAGTAATGAGAATACTCAAGTTTATCAGATGGAAGCTCACATAGAAATTCACGTAGAAGTTCTTGATTGTCGTAGGGCAGCTACTCGGAGGGGTGAATTAGCAATAAGATCTTGTGAGTTACTAGTAAGGATTAACAAAACAACAGGACGACTGTTGCGTACAACTCTACGGACAATTTTTTTCTCATTTCTTCTTTTTCTTGGACATAAGTCAAAGAATAACAAAGAGCATTGACTAGATGTGTACGGTACACGAGTTCGAGTTTTCACGAGCTCGTGGCTGGAGGAGGGAGGTTTTCTGAAATATCCAGCTACAATTCCAGTGAATGCAGAACATCCGAACGTGTGAAATCGTTCTCTGTGTCAGTTTTTGTTTTTGTTTTTTTCTCCTTTTATACTCGACAAATTGCCAATCGATTGGCCTACATTTTTTTGGGTAACAGTTGATGATGTTCGAAAAAAAAAAACACTCTAAGGAATATAAGCTGATGAATTAATTCAACAGGGAAATCAGGAGCCCATCGGGTCATGGGCTGCTTGGAAAATTTAATATGCCTTGAGAATGCCGCCATAAATTATCACAAAGGTCAAAATGTTATCTGCTAAACAAACAACTTTTCGTGAAACTCTGCACGAAATGTTCATAAATTCACTGCTTATATGGTATTCATGAAAAATCTCTATAAACAGAACGCACTATAGGTGCTATTTGAAGGAATAATATTAAAAAAGTAAATAGAACAAATTTGCGTAATTGACATCAGTGATGTCGTAACTAAAATTGATAGGTTTTATTTGTTCGTTGCGGAATCACTAATTTTAACTTGGCAATCTTTTTTTTAAAACAAAAGAGAAAAAAATCCTTCGATAGCCTTTGATTTCAATAACAAAAGTGTATGACTTCCAGAGTTTAAAGTATTTCGGTGAACTAGAATGAACGGATGAGAATTTAAAGATATTCAATACAAATTCGAATTTGTCCTGTGATAATGAACCAACCGCAGTCTTCATATTTGCACTTCTTAACAGAAGGGTCAGTAGGTTGTTGTGCTATCTCTTCTATTTCCTTTTCCTTCGTCAGTTGGTTGTGTTTTCTGATCCAAATATTTACAAATCTTCGAGGTGAAATCTATTTTAAAAGATGTAACTTTTCTGAAGTGCATTTAGACCAAACACCAATTTTACTTATTCTGTCTTTTTGTCCAGCTATAATTGCTGTTTTTCTCTTGTTTTTGGATGAGCTCCAACAGTTTAACAAACATGTTCTTGTCAATATCCATTCGCCAGTCATGAAGATATTAAAGCTGACATATTTTAACCATCGCTTTCCTGTTGTTATCCTGCCAGGAAATAGCAAGTTGATGTCTAGGATCAATGCTTTCCGCAGGAAGATTGGCGCGATTGAGCTTGTAGGTAGCAAAACAATGATATAGTTTCCATTAGACACCTCTGGCTGTAGGCCAGATTAAAGAGCAACAGAAAATTCGAGATCAAAGACCCCCACAGCAAGAATCATAGATATTCGCTGGACGGGATTTATGTGATCTTATTGGGATTATGAAAAAATTGGACCCCAGCATGGCTATGGTACGGCTGCCGATCGATTTTAAATTCCTGAAATGTGGTGTGATTCAAAAGAGATATGATAAACCGAGATATGTAGGGACAGAAATGATAAGCTTAAGTTATTCAAAAATGTTTAATTTGTGAATGCTCATTGAGATGGTTTTTGGACGTCGGCCATTATTGATCAGGGGAAACTCTTGAGGTTTCCCGACACAAACAAACCAGGCGTTGACGGACGTAGTTTAGAAAATTTTAGGGTTGTCAGATAGCGCTTTTGTACCACCATTAGCATCATAAGCGACTGGAAAAGGATCTATATTTCAAAGCTTTGAGTACCGATTAGTTTTTGGCCTCAACACAAGCTTAAGAGGAGCTTGTCTTTAGCGTCAGTGCTGTTTACAGGATGAGGATGTATGTGACGTGGATTGCTGAAACTGAATATGTTACGTTACGTGATATAACGGGATTGTGCCTGGTTCCCAAAAGGAGCTTTAACGACAGCACATAAGAGAAACGTCTTTTTACCGCTCACTGCGATCCTCGGTTCAGTAAAAAACATGTTAGGCGTCGACCGTGTTGTTTTGTCAAACAAGCTTGTTCTTGAAGCTTAAATTTAACACCACATTTCACTGTCAGAAAAACTTTGATATTGTATATCACACTGACGTGTGAGGGCGTAGAACTTATACGTGATGTGCGGAAATTTTTGCAACTTTTAATCTGAGTATTGCTGTTCCTTTCATTTGATACACCCTAGGAGGTTCTTGTCACGTAGATTTACGCCCAGGTCATCAGTATTCTAGGGAAAGCGAACTTGTCTTGGATTACCTGACATGCTGAATTCCAAAATAATCCGACAACGTTGACTAACCATTTTTTGTGGGTTTTTGATACAGGATTTGATCTTTTACAAAACACCTTTTCGACTCACAGAATGTAGCTGTCATGTATTTGACGGTCTGCTTTGGAGAAATTCAATGCTGCTGGCTGATTCAATGTGCAGACTAGCAAACTCTCTCAGGCTTTTAAGGGTATAGTTTTGACTCTAATTTTAGCCGCTATACCTCCCGAACATAGCAAACGGAATAATACCAAACAAAAGAATTTTTCAGGTGCGTCATGAAATAAGCAGATACGAGTCTTACAAGGTCATCCA